CAAGAGAAAAGGGATTCAGCAGAGTCTGCTTCACTGCTTAAGATTCTGGAAGTTAGAGGCAGGAGAGTAGCTGCCAAAATGAGAGTCAAACCAAAATGAAATAGGCATCAGAAGGCAGATTGCAAGCGAGGAATGTAAGATATGGAGTTTTTATGTCCCTGACTTCATTTGCTAGTGATTCTTTTGGTATTTACCCACAACCTGTTGATTAGTTCCTGGGCCCTTGGCCAGTCTTTCTAGTGACCAAACACATTGAAGAAATAGGTAAAGCTGAAATTCAGCACTTAAGAAACAGCTCTGTGGGTCAAGAGCTCTGAGCACCTTTAGATGCCCTGAGTCTCCACAAAAATATTTAGTCCATTATCATCATGGTGGGCAACATGGCAGCAGGCAGGCAGCCATGGTGCTGAAGCAGTAGCTGAGAGCTTACATTTGGTCTACAACCACTAGAGAGAGACACACAGAGAGAGACATAGACATAGAGAGACAGACAGAGAGGGCAGAGAAAGAACACTAATTAGGAATGGCATGAGGCTTTTGAAACCTCAAACCCAACTCCAGTGACACTCCTCCTCTAATAATAAACTTCTGATCCATCCCAAACAGTTCCATCAACTGGGGACCAAGTATTGAAATATATAAACCCATCCATGGAAGCCATTCTCATTCAAACCACCACACTTGAGCAATTTATGATAACTTCAGCTGTATTCCAAGATGGATCACATATTTCTTGGAGGAAAAACAGGAGAAAGATGCTACACAGTAAAATAGGGGTCATGAAGTGTTCATATTATGACTGGAACTATTCCTGTTCAGAAAAGAATTGTTGTCATAGAAAATGACTGCGGCTATGTTTAGTACAAAGTCTTAAATGTTGTTCATTCATTTATTTATTCCTTCAGAAAGTGTATCATCATGTAGAAAAGTTCAATAATGCCAACCGTGGAGCCAGGTGCTTGGGATCAATTTCCAATGTTGTCAATCAATAACTCTCTGTAAAATAGTTGGAAAGCTAATCACAGGACTCCAATGAGGAATACTGGACTTAATCCATTTACTGAGCCTAGAATATCCTGTCCACGTAAGCACTCAATACATCAGCCCTGGTTTGTTTCCTGTTGCTATGCTAAAACACTGAACAGAAACAATTTTGCAGAGGAAAAGGTTTATTTGGCTTACATGTTTTAAGTCACAGGTTGAATCAGGTGGTGATGAGGCATGAGACAACTGGGGTTGACTTTGAGATTTCAAAAGTCCATCTCATTCCTAATTATCTATCTATCTATCTATCTATCTATCTATCTATCTATCTATCTATCTATCTCTCTCTCTATCTCTATATCTATTTATATGTCTATCTCTCCCCTTCTCTCTCTCTCTCTCTCTCTCTCTCTCTCTCTCTCTCTCTCTCACACACACACACACACACACACACATACACACACACACGGTTGTAGACAGATGGACAAGAGATTGAGGCAGGAATCTGGAAGCTGGAACTGATGCAGAGACCATAAAGGAATATTCCTTACTAGCTGGTTCTCAATTCCTTGCTCAGGTTGCTTTTAAAATATAACTCAAGACCACCTATCCAAGGGCGGTACTACCCATGGTGGACTGGGTCTTTCATATCAAACATTAATCTATAAACTATTCCATGGGATATGCCCTCTGGTCAACCAGATGAAGGAAATTCTTCAACTTCCCAGACGACTCTAGTTTGTGTCAAGTTCACAAAAACTAACTAGCATAAAATCTTAGTTATTATTTGGTCGAAAATTTTTACCAAGTGCTGACCATATGCCAAGTCACCATCCTTTAGCTTGCACCAACTCTTCCACTGGGGGGGGGGGACGTTCCTACCCCAGTCGCTAACCAGAAATGCAGGCATTATCTTTTCTCTTCCTCCCCTTCCTCATAACCCACTTCCCAGTGAGTGGGCCGCTGAGTTCTGTGTGTTATACTATGTCCGTTCTCTCAGCTCCTTCCTTCATTTCCATGCCCCTTCCCCACCAACTGAAGCCTCATTCTCATCCCAGTAGTACCATAATTTTCCAAGGGTGTGAGCACTTGAGTTTGTTCATGTGTGTGTGTGTGTGTGCACCTCTTCAGGTGTGTGCAGGTACACCTGTGCTAGCATGCCTGTGGGGTTGACATTGGTGCCTAAGTCCTCTCACAGAATCTGGGACTCATTGATCCAGCGAGAATAGAGGGTCAGCAAGTCCCAGGATCCTTCTGCTTCCACTTACCCAGAGCTTACATTACAGGTGACAGCTGCTGGACCTACCTGTTACACGGATGCTGGGGAATCAAATGCAAGTCTGTGTGGCAAGCACTTCATAGTTTGAGAAGCCTCCTTCTCTTCTGATTTGTTTTAAACATGTCTCTCATATAGTTTGTTTTCTCTGAGGCCTCCACAGAATAAAGTCCTGGAGCCTCCATAGTACACGCGCCTATGAGGTCCTCTCCTCCTATCTTTCCTCCCTCATCTTTCTGTCCCACTCCCACCCCAACACCCCAGGAAACAGGCCGGAATTTCCTGACCACAGAATGCTGTTTTTGTCCTTGGTGCTGGTGTTCTTTCTGCTGGGTCACCTACCCTTTCAAGCTCCTAGACAACCCTCATCTATAGTCAGGTACACAGTTTAATAAAAGCTTCTTTGCACTAACCGTGAGTCAAATTTGTGCTAAAAGGTCAGGAATGCAATGATGAATGACACACTCTATCTTTCTTTCCTCTAGAATACGTGGCTCTGAGGCTGTGGAGAAAGAGATGAAACGTAGAGATGAAAGCTGTTGAGTTGAGCATAGTTAGCCACCTCAGATGACTGGGAAATTTGTTCTTCCTTAATCTTTGGGGATCTGGTCCAACAGACTCTGCTGAATGCCTGACACCTATTTATGCTGCTCTCTGTGCACACATATTTAAGATAAAGTTTAAATTCATAAATTATTCACAGTAAGAGATTAACAAGAATTAGTAGTGGAACCATTACAACAATATGGTTATACTTAATTTGGGGTGGATGTACTCCCTCTCTCGGAGTATCTTACTACCAAGTGTGGCAACACACACCTTTAATATGAGTTCTCAGGAGGTAGAAGTAGGCAGAGAGATATTTGGGAATTCTAGGTCAGCCAGGGCTATACAGTGAAACCACGTTTCAAATAAAATAAATCAACATATACTACTATTGCTGGAACTTTCTAGTTCAGAGCTTGGGTAAAAAAAAAAAATCATGGAAGTAAAGCCAGTCCTCAGATGGGGAGCAACTATTGTATCAACCGGTGAGCAGAAAACCCGCTAAATCACTCATAAGTCATTCTGTTGTTTAAAAGACACATCGAAGAACACCCACAACGGCCTAGGGAGATAGCAGACTGGGTTTGCCTTACACAGCAATATGAAATGTGGTTAATTCAAACACTTTAAAAGCCATGCCTCACTAATAGGCTTTTAAATCATGGGCATATGCATATACTAATATGTTTTTAAATCATGTATGTATTGAATTAAAACTAGGCTGCCAACCAAGAGAAGCAGATGATGGGAACCCAAACCTCCCCTTGCATCTCAGCAGTGATCCAGAATATTCTGATCCCCCACACTGGGCACCTCCTGTGGGTGTAAATTTCTCATAGCACTCAGCTCAGGATGTTGGACTTCAAGGAAAATCTGCTCAGCTATGTCCCTGGCTGCCAGGATAGCACTGTGTCCATGATTGTATAGATTGTATACAGGGAACTTGATGAAAAGGCTGGAACAGACCAGAACCTTGCAACTGCTGTCTAGGATTGACCTCAGCTCAGCCAGGATACACAGTTATCCCTGTGTCTGCTTACCTTCTAGATAGGGAAGTCTGTTTCCAAGAGCCATTATCCAGCCACACTGAGACTCAGTATCTTACTGTCTGGCTCCAACAACCATCTACTTTCTTTAAAAGCTTCTATATGTGTTTTAAGCACTAATTTGGTAAAAATAAACTTTCTGGAGTATTTTAAATTTCAGAGCAACTTACAATCACTCTATTAAATGTCCAGTTTCTACCAACCAGTGAAAACAACAGCCAAATGATTATTGAATAATAAAATTAAATTTCTCTTCAGCTTCTGTGGGAAAGCACATGACTCTAAGGGTTATCTCAGATCAGCCTAGTGACCCTAGCTGGCATGTTGTCCCATCAGGCGCTCTAGGAAACTGAAAACTTGAATAGTTACTTCCTAGGCTGCCTGCCCCAGTTTGACAGCACCAGACTCATCTCAGGTCTGTTCTAAGTACAGGAATCCAACCTCACTTTTCAAAAGCGTATTAACAAAGCCTTGCAATTATAGTAGACTTGTGACTCATTTGTGGATACCCGTGTAGAAACAACAGCTCCTCCCTCTGCTGAGAAATGGCTCTAATAAGTGTGAGAGAGCCACAGGAAGTTAAAAGCAGGTCTCAGCTGGTGTTCGCGGAGCCAAAAAAGCCAACAGAATTCCGTGGCGTGGTTCTTTAAACAAAGCCACCAGATCGCTCTCCTAAAACAAACTCCCCCAAATCTTCTGTGGGAGCCGTTTCAACGCGGTATCAATTGTTCTTGTATTTCCTGGCTCCTGAGTCATACTGTCAAGTTCAAGTGGAGAAGTGCTCATTCTGATGTGTTTGAGAAAGTGGTGACCAAATTGGAAAAAGGTCTCCATTAAATGAAATAATAATACTTCAAAACAAAAGTTGCCTCAGGTAGTCTACATTAGTCATTTTTGAAGCACTTCTGATGAAGCACTATATTCTCAAACATTTTTAAAAAAGCTTTCGGCTCTAGGTGAGAAACCCAAAGCCGGGCGCGTCCTGAAGGTACCTAGAGGCGCAGAGGGAGCCCCACCCCAAACCCACCTGCTGCGCACAGCATCCCTGCCCTGGGCCAGCGCGGTCCCCCACTTCAGCCAACCCAGCACCCGGGTCCCCGATGCCTAAAGAGTTAGAGAGCCAAGCAGACTCCTGTGACAAAACGAACCGTGATCTTGCGGTGCGCTGATGCAGTGTCCAGACGCTGGGAGGACACCGAGTGCTCGTGTCCTGGGGGCTCTGCCCCTTCTGCTACTTGACCGCCAGGTCTGCGCTTCTCAGCCGGGGTCCGAGCTCTGCGCCACCCCGGCCTCATCTGGCGCTGCTGGCTCCGCCCCCGCCGCGCTGAGGCTGCACAGCTGGGGACCAGGGCCCCGCCCCGGGGACGCCCTCGGCTGGGCGCGCAGCTTCCCGTCCGGACTGGAGTCGCCACGCTGCGGGTTGCTGGGACCCTAGGCACGAGCCTCCTTCCACTCCTGTGTGCCCCGAGATGCTGCGGGCGACGGTGTGGACCACCCGGGAACTTCCTCTATCTTCTTCCATGCTCTGGGATGGAGAGATGGGCGGGGAGGGATCCGTCGGACTTTCCGCGGGAAAACCCCTCGGTGCGAGTGACATTTGCAGTCCAGAGCGTTTCCGAGGCTAGGACGCTGAGCGTGGGTGTGGCTGAACCGGAGGTTGTGAATCTCGTAGGCACTGAGCCCCGCCTTTCACTAGCCCTTTCCCGCCTTCTGTCAGTGGGGCATCCACAGGAGTATTGCTAGGACCTCGTCCTCGGTGCCTGGCCGCCCTAGGCTAGTCAGCTAGCTATCAAAGAGAGAGAGAGAGAGAGAGAGAGAGAGAGAGAGAGAGAGAGAGAGAGAGAG